CCCTCCTCCTTCCCTTCCTTAAAAGGAGACCGCCCTCGATCCGCCTATGCGTGCACGAGCCTTACGTTTTCACTGCCTGTGGGAGGCGGGCGAACTCGGAAGTATTTCGAAAGTAGCAAGTGCCAGTACCAACCAGCGGCTGGTAAAGCTGCTGATGGTTCTCTTTATCGAAGGCCGCTTACAAGTAAGTTGATAACGTTTGAGTTCTTGGCTTGGTCGAGTATCAGTTTATCATGACGAACGAACAAGTCATAGAAGGATTGATAGTCCCACCGGCAGACGTAAATTCCCATCTTTTCACGACAGCATTGCTGCTCCCATTTCGTCCCTAATACATTCATTTGTTTGGTACCTTCTGTTCTAAATAAATAAGAGTTCAGAGAGAGTCTTATATTTGCCGTAGAATTTTACACTGATTGCAGTGTTCTTGCAGGAACTTCATGCAGGAGATGCAATCACCGAAGTGAATGGGAAACCGGTTACCACTGTCAAAGATCTGCCAAATCTGCAGGGCGGAGTAACCCTGAAAGTGATGCCAACTCCGCTCCATCAAGGACCGTCAGTAAGTTCGATCCCTTAATTACGTCTATCTGTTTGTCTCTTCTGCTTTTAAGAAATAGCAGCAGTGGGAAGGTGCGATGCTTGCAGCTGCTTATAAGCTTTTGCGATAAGCTGCTGCAGACTAACCGTTGATGAAGTCATTATTTGTTCCAACTCAACACGTTTGTTTCCTGATTTACCCATGGGATAACCATATGCAAATTACAGATGTAGCACGGTACAAAGAGTCGCCTTCTGACTATATGAACAAAGCTAATAAACAAAAGGTGTGGGGTGGGGAGGGGGAGAGGAAAGGGGAAGGGAAGGGTGGGAGAATTGCAGACGAAGTGAGGGAGGGAGTGGAGAGAGAGAAGGGAGAGAAAAAACGCTAGTGGAGGATCGGTTTATAATCGGATTTGTACAAAAAATTAGCGATGTATGAAAGAGGTGATGCAGGGTTGATGAATTGATCGGGAGGGGTTCTAAGTCGGCGATGAAATGCTTACCTTTAAACTGTCCCTTTAGGATTTATTGACTTTCGCATAAATTCCGGATTTTTAGAAAATGAAATTCTTTTTGCTTCGAACTGCACTAGCAAATCATTTTAAGAGTTGAGTTTTAAATGCGTAAGTTGTCGTTAAAATTTTCTCCTCTCTTATTCGTTTTCTTTCCACGATTTACTGCTTTCTGTGAACATTTAAATCTTTAGAAATAGTGTTCGAATGCACTTTGCGCTGCACCGGTAATGCAAAAATGCATTAAGTGCGAAACTCTTATGCGCACATGCGTGTGTACGTGTCCGCGTGTCTGTGTGTGTATTTGTGCATGCATGTCTGTCTGTGTGGATGTGTATGTATGTGGGTGCATGTGTGTATTGTTCGTGTATGTGTGTTGTGTGTTTGTGTGATTACCTGTTTAAATTACGTATCTATCGTAGCT